ACCTGGGAGGGTTGGTGGAGCTATCGCGGCACCTCGTGGTAGTTCTTGGGGGGGCGGGGGGGTAGCATATATATATATATATATATCGTGTATATATATATATATGATATAATATGTATATAATATATAGAGTATAATATAATGGAGATTTCATGGCACTTGCCGGCGCAAGAACGGACAGCTGAAGCAGAGCCGGGAGCCGAGGACTGGCTTCATTTTGGGCTTTCGAGAGCTCCTCGCAGAGAGTTCTTGCGACCACTACGGAGTTGCAGCTGCTTTTACCAAGATGCTACTCACACCAGAGAGGCGGCATGGAAATCCATGTCCTAGAGGCGTCCATCGCTTTGGCAGTCCTGCTTCGAAGATTGGAGGGCATCGCTCACCTCCTTGAGGTGTGCGGTCATCTTTTCCTGGATTTCAGCACTCACAACCAGGCAAAGCTAAGCGAGGATCCGAGTACCACGGCACAGGAGCCACCAATCCCACTAGTTCCGGATTCGGGGGGTTCAATATGGTGTCTGGCCGACTGGCCCTGACGATTCGCAAGAGGAACTTGAGTCGCAAAGGCCATGGCTCCCAAGAAAGTCATAAAAAGCCCTGATCGTGCGACAGCAGCAGGAGCAGTCATGAAGAAGAAACTGGCCTTGTCTGCCTTTGTCAGGGAAAGCTGCTGGTTTGCCTGACAGAAAAAACGAGAACACATGAACGGAATTCCAGGGGTCTTTGCTTCAGATACCTTGGAGAGCTCGTCACTTCGCGTATCGAGCTCTGACCTGTCGGGAATCGGACCCTGCTTTTGTTCTACATGTGGGGGCTTCAGAAAAGAGGGGACCCCAAGATAGCACCCTAGATAATAGGATCCTTATTATAAGGACCCCAAAATGAGGTACCCCTTATTTTCGGAAAGTCCCATGTCAACTTGTTTCTGTGGCGGCCTCAGCCATTTCAGCTGACCTTCTGCGCTGGCTTCTGTTTCCTCCAGGCCTGGACGTCCGGAAAGTCTGGGCATGTCTGGGACAGCTCTTGGTGAAGGGTGCGCTTGCTGCCAGGCGGCTCTCAATCCGATCTCGCAGCTGCCAATCCTTGGGTGTTTCGATCGAAAGCCCTCGATTCAGAAGAGAACTCCATGAGATCTGGGGTCTCTGCTCGCTTCTTCGCTTCAGCATTCTTCTGCTCCAACTGCTCTACCTGTCGCATCAAGGGGCGACTCAACAAACCAAATGCGCAGAAGATTGCAGAAAGAGTCGAACGCTTCAAGACAACAGCATCCGAACAACTTTTTGTGTTACGTGCTGACGCGTATGTGGCTTCCCTTTTCGGCACGTGGGCTGCAGAACGCCAATTGACACGCACGCAGGGCTTGGGTTGTTCACTGGAGCTCATCCTCGACTGCCCATCTCGTTGTCATTCAGCTTCGGCCGATTGCAATGGCAGCTCGTTGGCCAACAGGCAAATATTGCAGCACAGGCTACCAAAGCTTCAGGCCGTCGGACTCAACGTTCCCACCTCTAGCATGGAGCAGCAAGGTCGATGTGCTTTGAACTTCTTTGGCAGGACAGCCATAGGCTAGGCAATGCTCGCAATCGGCGACTCCATGGAGTGCGTAAACTTGCAGCGATCGCCATAAGTGCACTTGCCCTTCTGGTACTGTTTACAAACTCTGTGGAACGCCTCTGCCTTGAGCACCTCACCCTCGACTGCCTCACCAAATTCTGCATCGTCCTCCTCGGCAGCAAGCTCGGTCCATCCCCAAAGGATAATGGAAATCCGCCCAAGCTGATTGTGCTTCTCTGGGGGAAGGGCATTGATCCCATGCTTCCAGTTCATATTTATGCGTCTCCCGAACGAGAAAGCCATTCCGTTCACTTGGGGGAAATATGCCAGGGTGCCATGCTGCACATGCCTGAATGCAAGCTCCCGTTCGCCTCCCAAGGAAACCCCTACAGTGATATTCTGCTTGCCGAGCCGTCGCTGGCTGAACGCGGCAGTGTCATGGTGCAGTGGCTTCCAGTCTGCCCCGTTCACGTACCAATTGAAGCGAGAGTACACAGATGGCTCCAGTATCTTGAAATAAGAGATGACCCGAGCAACCACATCGCAATAGGTAGCAGAACACTCCGGCGCCTTCGTGATTAAATGGCAGCCATCTTTCCACGACGCCCATTTGGCTTCCTTGCTTCCGTCGGCCTGTGCGACGTGGATTTCCTCCACCATTTTGTGATAAAGAGACAGGTCATCTTGATCACAAAGCCTAGCAGGGACAGATGGTTAGCTCAGCACAATCCCAATCAGTTCATCGTCAAGCTGAAAATGGGGAAAGCTCACACTTTGATCCCTCTACTTATCCTTCCGAAGACTTCCTTTGGGGGCTCCGCTCAAACTCAGACATCTTGTATTCAAAAACCGCCAGACTCAGTATTGGCACACAGTCAAGATCCAAGCCGCAGCTCTGGCACCACCAGTACATCGTCCCCTGTGAGAGGCCGCGTGAAGCCGCGATGGGGCAGACCTACCTGAAAGCGAACGACAGTTGGGAAAAAGACGGGGTCATACGAGCACATACTATTATCTGAACATGGTGCACCTGATACTAGCCTGATACCATGCCATAGGACAGGTTATGACGGTATTCGCGCATCCAAGCACGCTCTAGGTGTACGGCTTGTGGCGTATCTGTTGAGAATAGTTGCCAAATTCCTGTATAAGATGTGGCCCTTGCATAGGAAATGTCTATCCACATATGTACATGAATAAATGTAAGCAAGTAAGTAAGTAAGTAAGTAAGCAAGCAAGTAAGTAAGAGCCAAGCAAGCATGCATGTATGTATGTGTCCATGTGTGTCAGTAAGCAAGTAACCAGTCAGTCAGTCAGTCAGTCAGTCAGTCAGTCAGTCGGTGAGTGAGTGAGTGTGTAAGTGAGTAACTGCATAAGTGAGTAGGTAAGTAAGCATGCATGTATGCAGGTATGTATATTTGGTTGTGTACATATGGCGTATCTTCTACGTAGATCTCGCTCTCTTTACCTCTTTCGGTTGACAGGGTCTCTGTTCCTCTGACTCTGTGTGTGTGCGTGTGTGTGTACCTACGCACGTAGGACACCTCCCACCCGCCAAGCCATGCCCCCCAACCCTGCAACACAAAGTCCCAACACCACACCGACCCCAATGTGCAGCACAATCCACAAACCAAAAATCTAACGAACGAACAAACAAACCATCCAATAAACCGAGGAAGCAGCCAAGGTAAGGAAGGAAGGAACAAGTTGACTACGTGACCGCCTCCCACACGCAACCACACGCTCCCACCTAGCCCAAAAGCCACACAATAAACATGCACGTACACCTCCGAGATGTGTGCCCTGCAACATCCTGCAACCTATGTGCATCTCAAGGCACATGCACGCGAAGGGCTGGTTGTACCATGGTAGACTGCGGATCGCGGTCCTGGCTTGGCGGAAGGCACCCGTGGAAAGTCTCGGAAATCAAAGCTGAGGAAGAACAGAAACTCTCTGCACGTCTGCACAGTGCAAATGTTTCATTGCTCGGTCTCAGGCTCATCTTAAAACCGCGAAGCACCACCTCCCGTGAGAAATCGTCTATGCCTTTCCAATATGGCTTGGCTTATGCCAGGGAGAGTGGTTTGAGGTGAGGGTGGGACCCGCCAAGCAACACACAAACACACAACCGTAGCACAAAGCGGGATGCCCTAGTTGGCTTCACATTCTAACAATTCTGATTCTGATTCTGATTCTAACCGACCTCAAGGGGTCACAAGGAGCGTCCTCCAGCCGAGTGTTGAGGCCGTCCGCTTTTCGGTACTGCCTGCCCTTCCGGGGATCTTCCATCGCTGGTACCAGGCCATGGCCTACGGCGATCTCTCGGGGAAGAGGGATCTGCTTGGCCCTACGCTTCATCTCCTGCATGTAACTCCACCATCGTAACATTACCGCACACACACAC